GCAAGGAGTAAGGAGACAAGTGTTCTGCACCCGGAACAACACACATATGAGAAATGAGAAATTGGAAAAATGATTATAAACGTAAGCAAAACAAGAAATAGCAACCACAGTACCAGTGTCCCCAATGCAAGAGAAGTTTCTCCATATTCCTGCAAACTCAGCCGAAGGCATCATCACCGTTGCATGGTACGGCCCGTCGGGAACACGTGGGTGCACACTGTCTTTCTCCTTCACCCTCACCTCATAATCAGAAATTTTGTTTTCTTCTAAGTATAAAACACAAATGCATTAATATGTTTTTACTCGAAAGTGTTTTGATTCTGCTTTTTTACAAATTCCATCCTATTGTTTTTACACCACTTAAAATGATAAAAGTTTAGTCTGATTAAAAGTTTTTTTTTTCTTTAATTTTTATCTCTAAAAGTTTAAAGCACCATTTTTAACTGTAATCAAAATTTATATATTAAACATGAATTTTTATTTTAAGTATCTTTAATAAAAGAGTTAGTAAGAATTTTCTTAATTTTTTTAATTCAATTTTTATTTATTATAAATTAAAAATATAATTTATATATTTAAATACAATATTTATTTATATAATTTAATTATATAATAAATATATATACATTATACATGTTAAGATATTATATCGATCACATATAAATAAGTAATATTTATTTTAAATATTTATAAACTTTGAATTAATTATTTATATATTGTTGGTATATTTTTTTATATATTCACAATCAATCATATCTTTCAATAATGATATATTTTTTACTTATTTAATTAAATAAAAATAAAATAAAATAATTTAAAAAATATGATTAATTATGTGGTATATGAATGATTAACTTAAATTTTTTCAAAAATATTGCACTGACATGTTATTATATACAATTATAAATAGTGCTTAATTAAAAATTAACAGATTATTTAACTTTTTAATAAATAAAATAGTAACTAAAAAATATATAATATGAAAAGCTAAAAGTAAAAATTTAATTACAGTGGATGAAAAAACAAGGAAAAGATTTCTCCAAAATTGTATTCAAGTAAAGAGAGAAATATTGAAATAGAGAGGGAGAAGAAACGCATACGAGGGCTTTGGAACCTGAAGGTGATGAATTGGGCGTGAGCGTGGGGTATGATAGTGACGAGGACGTCGTGGTCGGCGACGCGCGTGAGCACCTTGGCTATGTCGTTGAGGCTAACGGTCATGGAGATGGTGCGGTGGCAGCAATAGTCGGCGAAGGTCTTGGCGGAGAAGAAGACCGAGACAAGTGCCATTTTTGTAGAGTCTTTGGATCGCAGAGTTAAGTTATCGGTGAACCAACGGATGCTGACGTCACCCACCACCTCCCTGGTGGCCTCCACCACCTGCTTCAGCAGCGCGCCTTGCACCAGACCAGGTTCCGCCACCATCTTCTTGCTTCTCTTAGGGTTTCTTTCTTCGCTCTTTTCCATCGATGCTTTCTTTCTTATTGGTTCACAAATGGAATGAACGCACTGATTTTGTTTGTTTTACTTTTATATCAGATGCCTCTCTTCGTGCCGTTGCTTCATTCCCGCCATTAACTTTTTTTTTTTTTTATAAAATAAAATAAATAAATAATTACTTACTTCATATCTATAAATATAATGTTTTAGTTTTTATATAAGTAGTTTTCTTTTTTATATTTAAATTCGTATCTTAAGTATATATTCATGTAAGCAAAACTGGTATGAACCGCGACTTGGATGATGCTTGGCAAGTGCAGGCAGCCTGAAGAGGCTTCTGTGCTCTTTGAGACCATGTTGTTTGAAGGGCTTAAACCTACCGTTGATGTTTACACTGTCTTGTGAGTGCTTATGGTCAAAGTGGTCGTCTTGATCAGGCTTTTTCTACTGTTGAAGATATGAAATCCGTTGTTGACTGCGAACCGGATATATATACATATTCCGTTCTTATCAGTTACTATGCAAAATTTTGTCGTTTTGATTTGATTGAACATGTTCTTGCTGAGATGTCATATCAGGGCATCCGATGTATAAGAGATAACTAAAATAATAAGAATTTTAGTTATGCAGAATTTTAGTTCTGCAATATAGGCTATTTCTTTTTTTGTATATAAAAGGATTTTTTTTTACCTCTTAGAGTATGTATTTTCAGTATTCATTCAATTCAATAATACAGTTTAGTTTTCTCTCATTCTCTCTTTTCCTCATCTTCATTATCTCTCATATGGTATCAGCCTGCGATCCAACCATGGCAGCACAATCTTCCGCTGCTACTTCTTCAATTGTTCAACCTCTTGTACCAGTCTCAATCAAGCTTGATGATGACAATTTTCTAATCTGGAAAATGCAAGCAACTGGTATCATTAAATCCTTCAAGCTGCACAAATATGTAGATCATCACAAAGATGGTGGTATGCCTCCAAAGTACTCCAATCCAAAAGACAAATTATTAGATAAAGTTTCAGAGACATATTCAAATTGGGAGCAGCAAGATCAACTAATTTTTACGTGGCTCTTAACATCTATGTCACCAAATTTGCATTCAAGAATGGTGGGCTATGTTCATGCATTCCAGATTTGGCAATCTTTACATCTTTATTTTGAAACACAAACAAGAGCTCGTGTCTGTCAATTAAAATCACAGCTTAAAGGTATCAAGAAACAAGATTCTTTAAATTCATATCTTCTTTCCATCAAGAAGATCATCGATACCTTGGCATTAGTTGGTTCACTAGTTGATCCTGCAAAACACATTCAAATTATCCCTGATGGTTTGCCCAGTGAGTATAATCCTCTTGTTACCTCTATCATTTCAAGAACTGACCCATATTCTGTGACAGAAATAGAAACCTTGTTAACTACTATGGAGAATAGGCTAGAAAGACAGAAACAAGAAGAGCAAGAATCCTTGAATATGTAAGCAAATTATGTTCAATTTCCAGGAGGATTTCAAGGAAGAGGACAAGAATATTTTAGAGGCCGAGGTCAACAAAATCATAGAGGAAGAAATAAAGGAAACTTCAGAGGTGGCAAAAGTTTTGGAAGAGCACCTAGTCGTGGCTATGACAAGCAAAACAACTATAATAGACCAATCTGTCAAGTATGCAATAAACCAGGTCATACAGCCTTGAACTGCTATCACAGATTTAATCCCCAATATCAAGACAGCAGTGCTCAACAAGTCTCCAATTATTCAGAAACTCAACAAAAAGCTATGGTCACAGAAGCAAATCTTGATGATCAATCCAACGTCTCAGCCCTTATGGCAGTACCAGATACCTTTTGTGATCTAGCTTGGTACCCTGATACAGGAGCTACCAACCACATCACAGCTAATGCATCAAACATGGCAGGAAAGTCAACTTACACAGGAGAGACAAAACTCAAAATGACTAATGGAGATTCTACATCCATTCAACATATAGGTCATTCCTATCTATATTCCTCTAACTCAAATAAACCTCTTTTCTTGAAAAATCTGCTACATGTTCCTTCAATATCTAAGAACTTGATTAGTGTATCTCAATTTTGTAGGGATAACAATGTGAAATTTGAATTTACTGCTAATAATTGTTGTGTCAAATCTCAGGATTCTAAGCACACACTTCTGGAAGGACACTTCACAAAAGGACTCTATGTTTTTTATAACATTTCTGTAGGACCTTCAGTTTGTAATTCTGTTACTACAGAAAACTCCAATAGTATTCGTGAATTGCCTAACAATAAGTGTGATTTGTATAGAATATGGCATGCAAAACTAGGACATGTAAATTACAAAATTGTACATGATGTTATGAATAAATGTGGAGTTTCTGTTTCAAAAAATTCTACCTTTTCTTTATGCAAATCATGTTGTTTAGGAAAGTTACATAAGAAACCTTTTTATTATTCAACTACTGTCTATACTAGTCCTCTACAACTTATATACACAAATATATGGGGACCTGCACCAATCCCTTCTTCATCTGGCAGCAAGTATTACATAGAATTTATTGATGCTTTTTTCACAATTTACATGGATTTACTTGATTTCTAATAAAAGCCAAGCACTGCAATGCTTCATTGATTTTAAAAACATGATTGAAAATCAACTCAATTCCAAAATCAAGTGCATACAAACTGATGGAGCAAAGGAATACTTGGCTTTTTCCAAATACTTAAATGATCATGGCATTTTGCATAGAATAAGTTGCCCATATACACATGAGCAGAATGGAAGTGAAGAAAGAAAACATAGAAATATAGTTGATATGGGATTGTCTCTTTTAGCCATAGTTTTAAAAACTGGACCGGTCATCGAACCGGTTAAGGTATTGGGTCAGTGGGTCAAAGGTTGAACCGGTGGGTCACTGGTTGAACCGCATAACTCGATTTTTATTTATTTTTATTAAAAAATATTCATATTAAATATATTTATACTTATAAATTTTAATAAATTCATATCTTATTTTAAATTTAAATTTTTTTATCTTATTTAAAATTATTTTTATTTTTATTTTGTAAAAAAATATATAAAAAAATTACATGTTAAACGGTATATTAATACAAATTAAAAATATAAATAATATGTACATATATAATATGCTTGCAATTAATATCACAAAATAATATATGTAATATTTACATAGATATTGAATCATTAAATATATAATTTAAAATTAATAATATATTATAAAAGTTATTTAAGTTGTATATATTGCAAACAAATATATTAGAACAAGTAGTCATTGTTATATTTAATAAGACTCCTTGCTTTTTCATTAAGAGATTCAATTTTCATTATTATTTTTGTGATTTATGGTCCCTTAAAAAAATTAAAAAAAAAAAAAGTGGTTGAACCGGTTTGACCCACCGGTTCACCGGTTGAACCGGAAAATTGACCGGTTCAATCCGGTTTGAAACGGGTCGACTGCATAACCGATCCAACTTCAGATTCGGACCGGCTGGACCACCGGTTCCCGGTCCAACCGGTCCGACCGGCCGGGTCGGTCCGGGTTTTAAAACACTGCTTTTAGCTCATGCATCTATGCCACTTAAGTTTTGGGGAGAAGCCTTTCAAGCTGCTGTTTAGATAATAAACAGACTTCCAACACCTACTTTACAACTGATTTCACCAATTGAGAAACTATTTTCTACAAAACCTGAATACAACAATCTTAAGGTGTTTGGATGTGCTTGTTACCCTTACTTAAGACCATACAACAAACATAAATTTGATTTTAGGTTTGAAGAATGCATATTCATTGGTTACAAACCTTCCTACAAAGGCTATTTGTGTTTATCTTTTTTAGGAAAAATATTTATTTGTAGGCATGTATTGTTTAATGAACATGTATTCCCCTTTGCTACTAATTCAGCTTTCTCTAGTCCATGTAGAAATAAAATTGATAATGATGTTCCTTTAGCTGTTCCATCTATTCCAATTATTCAACCTTCTCCTACAGCAAATCCTTCTAACACACAAAATATCTTCCCACCAAATTCTCCTAAAACCACCACTACCTTACCTCCAACTAATTCTGAAACACAAACTCAACCATCATCAACCAATAACACCATTGACATCACAAACATTCACCCTATGATTACTAGAGCTAAAGCTGGAATCCATAAACCAAAAGCATACACCATTGTCACAACCACTCCTAAACCCAATCTTGACCCTTTTCATGAACCTAGATCTATCAAAGAAGCTCTGGCTATTCCACATTGGAAGAAGGCTATGTTGGAAGAATACAAGGCCCTAATGAAGAACAACACTTGGACACTAACTACTCTTCCTGTTGGTAGAAACTTGATAGGATGCAGATGGATTTTTAAAGTCAAAACTAACTCTGATGGCTCAATCAATAGACATAAAGCACGACTGGTTGCAAAAGGATTCCATCAAAGTGATGGTTTTGACTTCTCTGAAACATTCAACCCTGTTGTTAAACCTACAACAATTAGGATTATCTTAAGCATTGTTGTATCAAGGAGTTGGGATATGAGATAGATTGACATAGCTAATGCTTTTCTAAATGGAGACCTTCAAAAAGATATATACATGGCTCAACCCCCAGGTTTTATTCAAACTGACAAAAGCCTTGTGTGCAAACTACAAAAGTCCCTTTATGGACTTAAACAAGCTCCAAGAGCTTGGTTTGAAAGGCTGCACTTATCCTTATTTAGAATTGGCTTCTATTCTGCAAAAATGGACTATTCTCTCTTTATCAGATTTCACAAGGATCATATCACCTTTATTCTTGTATATGTGGATGATATAATCATCTGTGGGTCCTCTACATCAGCTATTTCTTCTGTAGTTGAACAATTACAAAGTGAATTTCCTGTTAGGGACCTTGGTTTTCCAAATTACTTCCTTGGCATTCAAGTGGATCAACTTCCTAATGGAACTCTAATGCTGACTCAAACAAAGTATATCAATGATCTCTTAAACAGGACCAATATGCATATGGCTAAACCTA